GCTCGGGGCCTGCATCGGCCTCGCATCGGCGCCATCCCGGGGCGGCGTCGTGGGGCCGCTGCCTGGCAGTGGTGGGGAGCCCTGGCCCGGCCCCCGCGGGGGGATTTTCGGGATGAGGGGGGGAATCTAGGCCCGAGTTTGCGGGGCGGGAGGGACCGGGGGGCACTAGGCCGCGGAGAGGTCCCGTTACCGGGGGGGGGCTCAGGCCTCGGGCTGGAGGGTCCTGGGCTGGGGCGGCTGCTCCAGGTTCTCCTCTTCTCCCGACGAGCCGCGGCGGGAGCCCCGTTGGGTGCCCAGCGGTAACGCCGGAGACCTTCCACCCCGAGGGGCTCCCGTGGTGGAGAACGACCTGCCGAAGGCTCTGCCCTGCTCGGGGCCGGCACAGGGCTCCACTTGGCCGGGGTGCCCACCCGCTCAGCAGCTTCGTGTGTGCCGGCGTGTCAGGGAACCATCGCCCGGAGCTAAATGTCCACTCGCTGGGGTGCGACTGCGACAGCGCGGTCTGGTGTGCGCGTGTGGGCCTCGAGGGGGCTCCTGTGCGAGCGAGGTGTGCTGCCAGGCTCCGCTCCCGGCTCTGAGGGGAGGGCGAGAGGCTTCCTCACCTCCAGAAGAAGTGTGAATTAACAGCAGCACAAGTATCCTCAGGCCTCTAGCTGGTAGAGCCAAAACACACCTTACCTTGAGCTGTGTCTCTGTTTCACCTGTGTCAGCCCTTGTCTCTTGTTTGACTGACAGAAGATCGTTTACAGTCTGTGATGTGATTTAATGTTAATGATCAAAAGTTTGGGTTACTCGGTTTTCCTTCACGGGAAGACAGTGGGAAGGGACATCCAGCAGCTCAGGTGTTGAAAAGTAGTTCAGAAAGGTCTTATAGGAGATGGTAATTTGGGGGGTGTTATTTACGTGTTAGGGATCTTGTAAAAACTATCCCCGTCGTTATTTTATTATTTCTGGTAGACTCCTGAGTGCATTTTTTTTAAATCAGCAGTATTTACTGCCTGTGCCTTATCTCATGTTTAGATGTTGATGCCCAAGAAAAACCGAATTGCCATCTACGAACTCCTTTTTAAGGAGGGAGTGATGGTGGCCAAGAAAGATGTCCACATGCCGAAACACCCTGAGCTCGTCGACAAGAACGTGCCCAACCTCCATGTCATGAAAGCCATGCAGGTACGGAGGTGAGGGCCGGGCTGCCAGCCACATGTTGTTGCCTACCTATGGATAAAAATCAGCTGTTAACAAATAAACATTGTCAGATGTTGCCTTGCATTTGCTGTTTCTTTCCTATTACAGTTATTTTCCCATTCTTCTGATTTTTGCTGCTTGCTCTTTGGTTTATTGTTCCCCACAGACCTTAGAAGGTTATTTTGTGGATCAACATGTCCAGCTCCATTTTTGAAGCTGTGATACCTCTGTGTGTGATAGCCTTGTGTTTTCTCACAGAACAGAAATGATGCTGTAATTTTATCCTGGGCATGTGAATTTTTATTCCCTGCATGCCCCTCGTTTTGCATTCACAAAAGCACTTGGTGAGGCTGTTGATTGAAATATTGAACGGTGATAAGGATCACACATGAAGTAATTGAGAATTCTCTTTCTAGTCTCTGAAATCCCGTGGTTATGTGAAAGAGCAGTTTGCGTGGAGGCATTTCTACTGGTATCTGACCAACGAGGGCATCCAGTACCTGCGTGATTACCTTCACCTCCCCCCTGAGATTGTCCCCGCAACCTTGCGCCGCAGCCGCCCGGAGACTGGCAGACCACGACCCAAAGGTAAGTGGTAGTTGGGAGGTGACTGCTGGGTCAGCAAGGGGAAGTAGGGAATGAGGTTAAGCGTGTTAGTGCTGGTGTGGTGGACAGTCAGCTTCCAGCCCAGACTGCTCTGAGTTGCTGTGATTTTTGGAAGTATAAACAGTAATAGAACGAGGAGACATGTATAGATTTTACTGGCTTTGTATTTGGCACTAGTCTGGTGGCCACTGACTTGCTGAAAAGTTGGAGAAAGCTGTGAGGCTGACTGGGAGAAATGCTTTGAATGTGGGACTTGCCCTTCTCTGGTAACACAATTGACTGGAATTACTGAGCGAGGGCATGCTGGAACTGCTGGTTCTGGATGGAGGTACCAAGTGGTGCCCAGACATGGCTGAGGGCTGAGATGGGATGTCTCTAGCTGTCAGGGCTTTTAAAATCTCTTATTTTGGGAAGAACCTGCAGCAATCCCTGCAGTTCTCCCTCAGGAAGATGGTGTGTGCAATGCTGGTCTAGCCCAGCAGGTACAGAGGACCTTGTCTCTGCCTGAGTTCCCCTTAGAACAACTGTCTGGGAGGCTGTTGTGTAAAGGTTGTGTGGCCTTGGCTAGGATTGCCGAGATAGGGAACAGACCTGCGTTGGGGTGTAGCACATGGGCACAGGTTTCAGTGACTGAAAGTGAAAGCAAAGCCCGAGTGCTGGATGTGCTTCATGGGGGGTTCAGCTGTGGCACCTGCGGTCCGGTTGGATATCCAGAGTTCTACCTTTATCATGTACTCTTGCCATGCTGTTAGGGGAGTCAGATTGTTCAAGCTGCCTTTGCTTTTTAAAAGATTTACAACAAATACATGTGATATATTTGACTTATAGTTCTGACTTTTTCTTGGTGGGTTTTTCATACCCCAAAGTGAAGGAGATGCTGGTCAGGAAAACAGATGTATTGTTGATGCTCACCTCTCAGATTGCCCACAGCTGCCTCTGCACAGGCACCTACCTGCAAAATGTGTTGTAGACCCACTTGCAGATGGCTGAACTCTATTTCCAGAAGGTATTCTTTGGTTGCAAATAGCAGTATTAAATAATAAAGCGTGGGTTGCACACCTGCAGAAGCTACACTGTTTCCTTGTGGATGCTTGGTTTTGGCCTGTGAATGGCTTGTGAACCGTTTTGATACCATTTGTTGTGAGCAATGTTATATCCTAGTGCAGTACATATAATCATTTAGTAGCGTAGTACCAAGAAACTTGAAGTGAATGTGCTGAAGCCACCATGCCCCTCAGTTCAGTTCTGAGAAGGTTACTGTGTTCCAGCCTAATAATTGGCTATAGGTGGAATGGTTACTTTGCTTGTATGCATTTAGAAATGCTCTGCAAAATCCCTTCTGCTTAGTTTTCCTTGTTTTTTTGTCCAGTAGTAGAGAAGAAACATCACAGTGCAGAACATGGATTGTGAAATTGATCTTTGGGGAGATAAAAACTTCTGGAAACTTAGAGAAAGGAGAGAGAAAATTACTGCAGCTGTAGTTGGCAGAACAGCATTGTCAGGTCTCTAGGGGCAAGAGATGTTTCTTCTCCCTCAGGGCAGAAGATGGTGGGTCTTCTGCTTTGTGTGGAGTTGCCTTTTGTGTTTACCAAGAATGCTGCTGTAGAATGTCATCCTGCCCTTAAAGCAGGACTTGCTCTGTGAAGAGGGGAGTCCTGCATGACAAAGCTCTTTCTGGTAGATGGTAGGAGTCTACTCCTGCTGCTGAGCTACATTACATCCTGTCCCCAAGTACCGGACACTGCGCTGGGACTGGAGGCTCTGGGCGTGGGGTGCTGAGGACTTCACCTGCTTCTCCTGCAACTTGTTTCTGAGCCTAACAAAACTGTAGCATCATCTGCTTCAAAGGAAAGAATTTTATTGTAACTAGGAAGGTGATTGTTTCTTTGATCTCTGAGTAGCTTTGGATACGATCGAATTTATTCTTTAGATGTTGTGTTTATCCAGCGAGCTAAAGAAACTGTGTATCTGATAGGAGGGAGAGGCTTACAGATCCTGGCTAAAATTTACTTGGGGTTTCTGCTGCGAGGAAGCTTCACTTTGCAGCATCTCAGGCCGTTTCAGTGCCGGTGACCTCTTTCAGTCCACGCCTTGGCAGGTTTAGCTGTCAGGGCTGCACGAATTGTCTGTTCCTGTGCTGTTTCTCTGTGGATTACCTACCTCAGGCTGCAGCAGACAGAACTGTGTGTGGATGGTGGTGCAGAATCCAGGCTGATGGGTCTTGCTTGACCTCTGGGGGTTTGGGGGCCTTTGCTGGTACTTCCATGCAGAGCTACTGACTTTCACAAGTAAGGCTTGGCACAAAAGCTGGAGCAGTTAGTCTGAAGCAGGTTTTGGATTACCGTGTATTTGATATTTGTAATTTGTGTCTCTGTTACAGATGTAACTGAACTGTTAGACGTTAAGGATGGGCAGATCTGAAGTTTAAAATAATCCATTGGCTAGGGGATGTGCTATAATGGTTTAACCTGACAGAAGGGAAGGACACAGAAGCACTTGTAGGACATTACTCTGCTTGCACAGCAGCGGGTTGTGTTTCTCTTTGTCATAAAAGCATCTATTATAGGAACTGTTTTTTGTATGGGAAAACTAATGCCTATAGGATAAATCAAGCCTGTAGAAGTGCATGATTTCTGTTTCTTGCCACATGCTTGAGACTGATAATACACTGCGGTGTGCCAGGCAGCAGCTGCCCTTAAATGTGTCTTGCTGCCTGAGCGTGAAGACCTTGGCCTGGTGCTGGGGGAGCGTATTTCATCTTTGATGGTCAGGGCGAACCCTGTAAGAGTGGTACAGAGGCTGCCAGTTCCACTACATCTGTTTCTTCCCTGCAAGTGTTCTGTCTGATAATAATCTGATGTTACATAGATAATCTGCTCTTAGTTTTATTAATCTATTCCATTGTGGAGGATTTGTGATACTGATAGTGTAGCTGTGTTTTAGGTTGGGATCGGAATGTCTTGCAGTTTGTGGCTTGCCTATGAACAAATTTGTTAGATGTGACAGATTCCCTGTATTTCTGATTTTTTTTTTTAATTATCATTAATTTTTTGGATCTTTGAAGGCCAGAAGACTGTTGAGATGATGCTGTAAATCCATTTTTCAGATTATTTAACTTAAGCACAAACTGGTGCACTTTAGTAGCTTTTACCCTTAAAGTGAAATTCTCCTTACTATATCATATATCACAATTTTGTCTAGGTTTCTCTACACTGAGCTGTTAGGGTGCAGCTCTGTTGGTAGATCTAATGCTCAGCTGGATGTTGTTTTCCCACCTTGAGATGCAGGGTCACCCATGGAACGAATCTCTTTTCCCTTTCAGGTCTGGAAGGTGAACGCCCTGCACGTCTCACTCGGGGAGAAGCTGACAGGGACACGTACAGACGCAGTGCTGTTCCACGTGAGTGTCCGTCATCTTGCTCTGTGACTATCAGGCTGGCCTTGCTCTCTGGGCGGGTTATCTCTTTGGGAGAATTGTCTTCAGTTTTGGCCTCATTTCAAGAAGAAAAGAGGAAAATTAGACTCTTGGCGTAGCTTGGGCATTTACGCAACAGGGTGCATCTATATCTGCTTATGGATAAGAGTCTTTTGAATTCTGTCAGGCTGGACTGTGGGATTTTCTCTGGGGTGGGTTCAGTGACTTTCTAACAGCCTCTATAGTAGCTACTTTATTTTGCTGTATTTCGCCTCAGTTTTAGTTGTCTGATTGTAAAGCTTTGACTCCAAGCAGGAGCACTGTACTTGGGGAGTGGATTCCTTGGTTAATAACTCATTCTCTCTCTCCAGCTGGTGCTGACAAGAAGGCTGAAGCTGGTGCTGGAGCAGCCACTGAATTCCAATTTGTGAGTATTTGCATTGAGATTTGCTTCTTTATTGAGTTTTTTGTCAGGAGAAAGTGGATAGGTCATACCTGTGTGCTCTGCAGTGTGGTGCTTCTCAGGTGTGCCAGCTGGGGTTGGGTTTTTGGCTCTCTGTGTGAGAGAGGCTGGTAACTGTTGACCCTTTATACCCAGCTGCATTCCTGTGGGGAAACTACCTGATGGCCTCGCTGCTGTGATGGGAAGCCAGTGACACATTGGAGAAGCATGCTGAGCTCTCTGGAGGAAATGCTTGATTTTCTACCTCAGAAATAGAAAAGTTTTAGACATGATCCACAGAGCTGACTAGGATGGGTTGATTTTGTTCTTAGTATTGCTCACCTGGGTCAGGTGGCCAGTCTCAAGCAGATCAGAGTTAGGCTGTTCTTGGAGCAGGGGATGCTTAGCAAAGTAATGCGAAGTTGAGGAAAGACAAGTAGCTCTTTTATCATGTTGGTGGTTCTTGCTGCTGTGTATTTGCTGCTGTCACTTGCTTAATACGGTGACTTCTAATGCTCTTCCTTTTCTGTTGCAGAGAGGTGGATTTGGTCGTGGACGTGGTCAGCCTCCTCAGTGAACTTCTGCTCATGTTTTGTGTATAATAAAATAGGTGAAAATGCCACCTGGGTTGCATCACTGTGTCTTATTTAAGAGCTTGTGCAGCAGAGAGGTGACTCAAATCTTTGGCATGTGTAACAGCAGTAGTGGAGTAACTTGTGATTAGAAAACAGGTTATAGAAAAGGAAGTTGTAGGTTTGGTGGTTACTGAGGTGGGGCTTTGCTAGTGCGTAGAGGTGATTCTCATGGAGGAATGAGCAGCCTTCGTTCATGGCAGTGCAGGAGCGCTGTGGGCAGTTTTTCTCTGCTGAGGAAGATGCTCATTTCTAATAATTCCCAGTAATGCAGTAAAGCCAGGCTGAGAGACAATTCTATTTTGCAGACAGAGCATTCAGCAAGTTCAGCTGTGTCAGCCTGAGGCCCTCTGTGAATCGGACCCAACCAGTGCAGGCAGGTGAGCATTTTCCTTACCCCAGTTCTGAAATGACTGGATTAATTAACCGTGCCTTGAGAAGGATGGGTGCTTGTGGCAGCAGCTGCTGCTGGCGGGAGCTGAGTGGAGCTGGGGCGGGAGTGCAGCCGCTCCCCTGCAGCGTGCAGCAGCCAGTAGATGTCACTCGCCAGCTAATGAGGGGATGATGCTAATTGGGAATGGCTGTCTGCAGCCTGGTAAATGGGACCTTGTTCAGGGCAGCCTTGAGACCACACAAGGGCTAGATGCTAACCTAGGGGGAAAGGAGTTCATTCCAGTCCTAGTTTGGGGTGAGGGAAATGGTGGGCATGAGGTTATTTTTTTTGAATTTTTTTCTGAGGAAGTTGGCACTGTAGGGAGAGACTAGGTGTTGCGAATCTTTAACTGATCCATCTGCCTCTGTTGAAGTTTGTGGGTTATGATTTAGCTAAACCTAATCCAGACTAATGTGCTGGATTTGCCAGAATACACTTTACAGCCTAGCTTTTAATGGCAGTGTGGGGGTTTTTTAAGCTATTTTTTTCAACTTAACTAGTGAGCTTCTAGGTTGTCCAGCTCTACTGGGGCTTTTTGTTCCAAGCTGCTGCTTATTTTATCCTACAGTGGAGTGGTAATGTTTACACTTGATGTGTTTATAGTTGTGATTCTGTTTGGAAAGCATGTTCAGCAGAACATTTAACCTCGTGAAATTAAGCAACTATTTCAAATCACTTGGAGTATTTCAGTGTGTGGCAATTGGTGTGAAATGCTGTTTTCTTCCAAAAGAATATTTGACTCATTGAAGGGAAGGTTTAAAGGGAAGATCCAGCCGAGCATGTAAAAATTGCTTTTGTTTTGGGGTGAAGAGCCCCAATCTAAATAGACTGCCACAAGGGAAGTATTGCCTCCGCATTTTTAATCTACTAGTCTGATAACCCACCAGTCTTGGGGTGGGAGCTCTGTGAGGCAGAGAGGATCCCATCCTCATCCTCTCAAAGCTTTTTAGCATTGATGAGCTGGTGGAGGGGCGATTTAAGAGGCATGGCTGTTAAAGTGTCTCCTTTCTGGATGGTGCCTCCCCTGGGTGCTCTCTAGTGGGATCCACACCTGGCAGAGAGCCTTATATTGCACCCATGTGCAGAGTCAGAAAATGATAAAGGCTTCTTGGGTTACCCTCCATTTTTGACTGTCTCCTGTGGTATGACGGAGACCAGGCTGCTGAAGCCAAACCGCTGCTGGGCACGTACCACTTGGAGGAGTATTTGACCCTTTGCCAGGGTTTTCCTCCTGAAGGAGCACACAGAATTGGGTTAGGGAGCCCGTGGGGGGCTGTGGTGTAGGGTTGCACCCCTCTGCCTGTGACCGCCGTGCAAACAAGCCAAGCCCTGGCGAAACGGGGTGATGCTGATGTCAGCCACTCCTGGGGTGCAATTTTAGGGGCTTACAGGCTGCCCGGTGAAATTGTGCCCTGAGGCTGAAGCCAAAAAAATACCTAAAAAGGCCCCTGGGGGGCAAGGAGGGTGCGTAATAGCAGGGGGTCCTGCAAGTGCCTCCCATGAGGTGGCTCGGTGCTGGTGCCTTCCTGAGCTGAGGCCACCCGGCTTGTAGAGGACCCCACCCCCTGCTTCCCCGGGGTGCAGATCTCCCCCACTCCCCATGTCCTGCCCCTCTGCCACCCCCCGCTTTGTTCCGCTCCCGCCCGCGGGGTACAATGGGACCCCCGCAACCTCGCTCCGCCACTGGCGTAAGCCGCCCCCCCCCGCCTTGCGCAAGATGGGCGTTTTTCCCCCGGCAGCGTCTGCGCGCTTTGCGTAGCGCCGCTGTCAAAGCGGAGCCATGTGCGCGGGGGGCCGGCTCTGCCCCGGCGCCTTTTGCGTAACTGCCAGGGCGCCCCAGCACGCAGCCGCCCGGCGGCTTACGAACAGCCTTATTCTCGAAGGCGGCCTACGCCGTGCCGCTGGCGCAGAGGGCTCGGCGTGGAGGCGGAGGGAGGAGGCGGGGGCGTG